GAAGGCAGCTATTTGGACCATTGTGTCCACGGCAGTCAACAAAAACCTGACCACACTAATCTTATATTGCAGCTCTTGCCCCATAACCCTGGAGGCTATGGCAATGTAAGTGAATATCAAAACATGCTTGAATATTACTAGAATTTCTGATTCAACCAGCTTTTCAGACATTACAAGCTTCTTAATATTCGACCCTCTCTGCAGAAAGAGGGTGTGCCTGAGATAGGAAGCAGCTCCATATCTATGAGGGCTCAATGTCTGATTTACTACCGAGGCAGATCTTGGAACACATGAGGACAATGAACTCTGGAGAGGTGTACAGAATCGTGAATCACATCATTCTTGAATTCTGTTATTATTTGTATATATATTTGTACGATGCTTTGCAAAATCAGACATCTCCATGCAAATAAAATGGGATTCGGAGATATTAGGATTAAGGGACATTGTGGTCACTTAAGCTATATGGACTATGATTTTCTGTCTGAACCTGTTACAAGCAAAATTAGGAACATCTCTCCAGTTTGCTTCTACTGCTGTTGCCGTGACTGGAGGATCCAAACTCATAATTACTTTCAATTTGTCAGTCTGTTCAGTGAGTGATTACAAGCAACCAAGAAGGAAAGATTGTGGGACCTCAGTTATCCATTGCTGCATGTTCACGCTGATCTTTGAGCATTATGAGAGATTTCCTGCAGTGACACACACTTAGACTAGTAACAGGTATCCAGTTAGTGCTCATGCCAGGTACGATTGGCTACATATTGTGTCCCTGCAATAATGAGATACAGTGCTGGCTCTGAGCACAGTATATTCACAGCAACTTCAGAGGAACTAAATTGTGGCACTGAAGCTCAAGCAGGGTTAGGTGCATACGCTGTTACCAACATTTTTTTTTGCTCAGAGCTCAACAGTTGGATATATAGTGTGGCTGCTTTATGAAGACAAAAAAAAAAACACACAAATATGTACATCAGAAATGTTGCAAAACACAATGAACTGGACTCACTTTTGTCTCTTGGACATTTACAGCACAGAAGGCAGCTATTTGGCCCATTGTGTCCACACCAGTCAACAAAGATCGAACTACACTAATTTTATATTGCAGCCCCATTACCCTGGAGGCTATGGCAATGCAAGTGAATATCAAAACATGCTTGAACATTGCTGGAGTTTCTGACTCAATCAGCTTTTCAGACAGCATGTTCCAGACTCCCACCACCATCTGCAGACCCGTTTTGCAGTCTGTCCATCTTTTATTTTGCAGAGGGAAAAGTTATGATGAAAGAGAGGCAACCACTGTGAGAATCTAGAGGCTGTTATCATATAGAAATCAATTAATTAGTGTGGCAGACTTTTAACATGGCTCCATGATGCCTGTCAGACAAACTTTGATGGCAATGTTGAATTTCAGTGCTATGAGCGAATAGTTGTCGGTCACTGGAGGTTCACCAGTGACAGGGAACACCTTGCATCCTTCCTGATGTGTCTGTGTCATACACACAGCTGTTTTGTCATGGCCAAGTGGCTGTTTCTGTTGTAGTACCTGCTGTGCCTTGGCAGTGGCTGAAAGTCAGGTACTTCTTATAAGCCTCAGGGAAGGCGATGCCCAAGTGGTATTATCGCAGGACTGTTAATCCAAAGACCCAGATAGTGTTCTGGGGACCCGGGTTCAAATCTTAATTCGAGATATTTATTGAATTCAAACACCGCGGCAATTGGTGGAAATCGAATTCGATAAATATCTTGAATTAAGAATCTAATGATGACCAAGAATACATCGTCTATTGTTAGAAAAACCTATTTAATTCACTAATGTCCTTTAGGGAAGGAAACTGCCATCCTTACCTGGTCTGGCCTCCATGTGACTCCAGACCCACAGCAATGTGCTTGACTCTTAACTCCCCTCTGGGCAATTAGGGATGGGCAATAAATGCTGGTTTAGCTAGCGATGCCCTCATCCTGTGAGTGAAGGAAAAAAAAAACATAAATTTCCGCTGCTTTGGTTGGAATTTATCAGCACGAGAGTTTTATACAGTAACACTGAGCTGAAAATTCCTCCATAGTACTAAGTTTTAAAGTAATTTGTATAATTATGGTTATTTAGTAGCGTACAGCTTGAGCATTGCTGATAGAAGACATATTCTGTCAAAGCTTTTCATCTTGCATTGGTCCCAACAGTATACATTTATACTGCATGAGGAAGCAACACTGATGGTTGGCAAGTGGACTCTAATTGATAGACACTTTGCTATGGAAAATGCAACAGTTAGATGATAACTGACAGTTAACTGTCAAATTTTGTTTAACATTTAAACCAGGTTGGTTGACTTTGGTCATGGCATTGACCTGAGAAATGACCCAGGGAACAGCTGTCGTGTGTTTTAGAGTTGAAACAAATTTAGTGTGTGTGTATAGATAATAAAGTGTGGAGCTGGAGGAATACAGCAGGCCAGGCAGTATCAGAGTAACAGGAAGAAGGGTTCCAGACCGAAATGTCAGCTCTCCTACTCCACTGATGCTGCCTGGCCTGCTGTGTTCCTCCAGCTCCACATTTTGTTATCTCTGACTCCAGCATCTGCAGTTCTTGCTATCTCAGTGTGTGTGCATGTTCTTTCCATCAGGAGGGCAAAGGGCTCTGTGTATTAATACATGTATCTTCCAATATGTACAAACACCACACTGGAAGCCGAATTAACAATCTTAGGTTGGTTATTAGCATGATTCTTCACAAACTCAAATGTTTGTCTATTTAACAAAGTATGTCTAATTTTGGAGTCTGTTTTCAGTTTAACAAGCATGTGCTGGTTGGGTTCAGTTGTGAACAGCCAAGTGGATACTCTGTTTGATATGATATGCCCTGGTGTGTCACGGTACCTAAAGCCTATATATCTAGCTAGCATCACACAGCACTGAAATTCACATATCACCTTACTCATTTGTGTGAAAGGCAGAAAGTTGATGGCAGCATCCTGTTAATGACAAACACCAGTCATGTTGCTACTGCATAATAGCAGTGTGAAACATCTGTTGTTCAAAATTTTTATACACCGTGAAAAATATACCGGGCACGTTTCAGGACCAAAAGTGAGAGCCCTTAGGCCTGTTCAGGCGTTTGCATGATGTGCAGCAACAACTGATCTGATCAGAGTAGCCATTATCTTGCAGGATGGCATCGAGCTTGCACAGCGAACAAAGGCCTCTGAATCTGTTTACAAGCCTTTTTTAAAATTCATTCATTGGATTTGGGATTCAGTGGCCAAGACATTATTTATTACCCTTCCCTAATTGCACTTGAGAGGGCAGTGATGAGTTTCCTTCTTAAACTGTTGCAGTCCAAAGGTATTTGCAACAGCTAGAACTAGTGAGGTTTCTTAGGCAACATAATCTACTTCGCCATACATCGTGTCATTAAAACTGAACTCAAATGCATAAGTTACTGATTTCATAAGTTCAATGTAAACCGATTCACACAATGTTGGCAGATGTAGATTGCCAGGATAAAAACCGAAAGAACTGTGGTTGCTATAAATTAGGAACAAAAACAAAATTGCTGCAAAAGCTCAGCAGGTCTGGCAGCACCTGTGAAGAAAAAAAACAGAGTTAACGTTTCGGGTCCAGTGACCCTTCCTCAGAACTGCAGAACTTCCTCAGGAATCCTTCACATTGAATAGTTGCACAAATTGCATATTTGGCCAGCTCATGTTGTGCAGAGTGGTCATAAATAAAATAGGGCATGAAAGGACATTAGCAGTCATGAGCAGCCGAAACATACACAGACCCCGTGAGATGTGAGGATGAATATTATCATATATATGATCTGTCAGCTCACTGCTTTTACACAAGTCCTATAAGCATTTATGAGTTCTGAGGAAGGGTCGCCAGACCCGAAACATTAATTCTGATTTCTCTTTGCAAATGCTGCCAGACCTGCTGGGCTTTTCCAGCAATTTATGTTTTTGAAGCAACATTTATTTTAACTTGTTTTCAAGTAAGTATGTCTGTTCATGCAAACTGGCTGGTACAATGGATACCAATTGGACCCATCATGAAGAATGGTCTGCCCTTTGATGATACAGTTACACTTGTTAAGGATAACTATTCATGTTCGTTTGTCAGGTTTACTGATACGTATGTCTGGATTGGCCTAGTGGTATCACGTTGCATGTGAGAACCGGACAAGTCATTTGGAATCCCACAAATTGTTGTGCAGTATTTAGCTCAATCTGTCATGTGGTATGTGCATTTCACTGCTGTTTTAATACTAGGTGAATAGGCCATATGTCCCAAAGACTGGCAGACCATATCAAACAGCATATCCCTTCGGCTGTTTGCGACAAGCAAGATATTGGCTGTAGCCAACCAAGTTTGATCCCATTTCTTGAAAGTCATAGTAGACTGAGGTTTGGGGAATATGCTGGGCCACAACTGGAGAACATTAATTTTTAATAGTTTCAAATGAAAACAAATCACAGATGAAATTATATTTGTTCTATCATTGAGGGACCAGCAATGAACACAAGCTTATCTGTGAATCAGACACAAAATTGGGAAAGCAAGCAGAACGTGAAATCTTCACAGCTGATTAAATCATGCCCTTGCGTCTTTGCTTGGACATCCTTGGGTTAAAGTGAGTTCTAATTCACAATGCGATGCAGTTAAATTATTTTACAGCTATTCACAATATATATTAATGATTTGGATGAGGGAACAAAATGTAACATCGCCAAGTTTGCAGATGATACCAAGTTGGGTGGGAGGGTGGACTGTGACGAGGATGCAGAGATCCTTCAGCATGAGCTCGACAGGTTGGGTGAGTGGGCAAATCAATGGCAGATGCAGTATAATTTGGATAAATGTGACCCTTCTGAAGTTTCTGAGAGGGGTCACCGGACCTGAAACGTTAACTCTGTTTTCTCCTCCACAGATGCTGCCAGACCTGATGATGCTTTTGAAGTTGTTGCAGATGCATTTGTAAACTTTTATCTCTGTTCTTCTAGTTTCCCCACATATTGTGTCAAGATTTCGTCAACACTGGTTTCCCACTCTGAGAATGAACAACGGGCCAGTTAAACTGCCACCAGTGAGCCAACAAACCACTCCTGGCTTTACTCCTTTGGCTGGCGGAGTGACAATGGAGAAAGCCGTTACTAAAGCTAAACCACCTCCAACTCTCAAGACAGATAAGCCATACACGACTTTAAGCTTATCATCTTCCATTGGCACTATGATGACAGATCCTGCAATCCTCAGCTCTGGAACCGTATCCCAGATTGCTGTTCAACCCAAGCTTCTAAAAAAAACAACCAAGTTTTGGAGACCTGCTGCCTCTGCACTGCGAGCTGTGACAGCATCGCAAGCCATTTCCATCACCCACATCAGTAATGAGTTAGTTCCTACTGAGAAAAAGATGACCTGTGCTGACATGCCTTGCTTCAATGGAGTTCCCTGTGAGCCCACACAATTTGGGAGCTTTAAATGTGGACGATGTCCTTTTGGATACACTGGTGATGGTGTAACATGCAAAGGTAAATGCACTGACTGCGAAAAGAGTTCATATAGATCACAACTGTATTGGTTATGTTGCTTTCTGTGCAACAATTGTACAATCCACATAGCTGCTTCAGAAATTGTCCGTTTAGTGTGCACCTTCATTGATATTGCATGATCCAATCTCACATCTTTATTTGTATACTCCTACATAAAGGTTCCGTCTCATAGTACTGGCGGATTGTCTAGTCCCTGTCGTGCAACTCCACCCTCAGACACTGGCTTCCCAACCTCCTCAGTTTCTCTCTCAGCAGCTTAAATTCTCATTGCCATCACAAGTTTTCTCGTCAAGCATGTTTGCATTGTCCCAGTTCTTCCTCTGTCCCGTTCTGCTCGGTGACCACCGCTTGTCGTGAGATGTGTCTTGGAACATGAGAAACACACAGTTTTTTTTGTATCTGCAAACTAGAGAGATGTAAAATTGTGCATATTTTAAAACTAATTTAGTTATAAAAAGTATAAAGGATTATGCAATGGCCTATCATAGTTGACTGATTATAAGCCTTACTCTTCCCCATCTACATCTGAATTCTGTGTCCAGTATGATCTCTGGCCTATCCACGATACTATATGCAGCTCAACTTTGTCCCCTCCATTTAAACACACCCCATTTCCAGTTATTCCTTCTAAGGATTTTGGACATATTTTCTCGCCAGAAAATCCTGCTGTGTCAAAGCTGGCTGTGTTCTTTCATCATGCCACGTGTTACCGATAACTTTTCAGACAAATGTTGCAGGAATAACAGTCATGTGTGGCATTTTTAAAAAGAAAGATAGGCCCCAGCTAACAACTATGATATTTATTAGCTATATGCAGGTACCCTTGTGGAAAGAATATGGAATGTGCAGCTCCCAACACATGTCGTTGCAAGCCTGGTTACACAGGGTATAACTGTCACATAGGTAGGAACTCTACTTTGCTTAAAGACTCTGTGCAAAAAATGTCCTTGTTTGAAATGTTTAAATTTGCAATGTTATTGGCTGTGAATGAATGACTGCAGACTATTTTATTGGCACAGACTCTAATGTTATGCTCGCTTGTCTTTATTAGCAATCTGTCGGCCTGATTGCAAAAACAGAGGGAAATGCATCAAACCAGATGTGTGTGAGTGTCCCCATGGATACAATGGCCTGACCTGTGAAGATGGTAGGAATATTTCTTTTTCGTCCAATCCACCTACAAAAGGGATATAAGTTGCATGCTGCCTATTTGTACACCTATCAGTGTCTTTCATTGGTATGAGAACCAAGATCAATATTGGTAGTATTTACAAAATCCAGTTTTGGAGCTTTTTCACGTCCCCTCATTATTTGGACTGCCATTGCAAGAATTGCTGTAGGTTTCTTGTAGCTTGCATTACCAGCTATCAACCTGCACAACTCTTGCCTCCACAATTTCTCTCTTCCTAACAGAGAGCCATGGATTCCCATTTTGGTAAAACAGGAGAACAGCAGAAACTTTAACACCTCTCTGACACTAATTTGATTAGTCCCTCCCTAGTTTCCTGCGATTTTTGTTATTTTTGTTATAGTGACACTGCCCCTGATGAGCACATTGACCTCGTTGACACAGGGTCTTGTGGTACAGTGGTAGTGTCCTTACCTCTGGGCTAGAAGGACTCAGTTCAGGTCCCATCTTCTCCAGGGATGTGTCATAACATGTGTGAATAAGCTGATTTTGAAAATATCTAGAAGTAATATGACATAGCATCATATTTTGATCACAAAAGGGTAGCTCCTGGGCAATCAAGATTTCTCCTATAACAATGTTTGAGCGTCTTAATACAATCCATGCACCCACCACTGAATAAGCACATCATTTGTATATCAAAGGCATGATCTTGTTGTCTGGATTGATCTGGAAACATCTTACGGTACTAGCTCAAGTTTGTGTTTAAGGTTAAAAATGTCAAAGGCTTCATGGGAATTGCCTGGAGATATAGCAGCAACCTGAAGAAGTTGCAGAGGAATATCCATTCCAAGACAGATTCGTGCAATCCTTAAATGGAATATCTCAGTCTCCGAATGTAGTGACTGCATTGAAGGTGTACTTTACCCTTCTTCTCTTCACTAAATTCCAACAACTGCTTTCCATTCTATATAATTCTTAAAGCTCTCATCCATTCAAAATCCATGAAGGCAACATTCCTTAAAAAGCATGGTTCAATATAGGTGTTTTCTGTGCTCTGCTTCATCACATAGGAAATATAATGAAAAATCTTAACCTCATATCTGAACACGCAATTATAGTGCCTCATTAGCATTTATGTGTCATCGTAACAATTCATTATATTAGTCTGTGTGGGTGCGACATACTTATTTACTTCCTTTTAGTGTCAAGACATGTTGCAAGAACTTTCTCCCAGTTGCTACTCGTGAAACAATGATGTCAAACATGGTCTCTTCAGACTGAGCTGACCCTTGCCTCATCCAGTTAAATTCTAGGATATACCTCTTATACTCCTCTTTTGATGATTGTATGAAATTAGACAGTAGGACCTGGAAAACTGAGAAGCACAATCCACTCCCATTCTGGCAAACCAGACCTACATAATAGTCATCTTACCATTGATGAAGGAAATACTGTCCTAAAAGCTTCTGCTGTAGGTGTGGCTGACACCGCCACATGAAGTAAAGTGTCTTGCACTGTGTTTAAACTGTATTTCAACGGACTGGATTGAAATGTTAATGTTCCACATAGTGATGGCACTACCATTAAGTCATGATGTTCTATCAGTGTTCTTCTGGTTGTTGCAGGGAGTTGTAGGGAAGTGGGGGTGCTTTCCCCACTGACAGACATTTAAGGCACGCCTGAAAAGCCTGCCCTGGGATTCATAATTGTATTGGCCCTACACTGAGTTTAGAAATCTGAGCTTTGCACATATTGGTTATTTGGTACCATCCTCATCCTTGGCTGAATCGCACATCTAACTGTTAAAACAGTAACACAATTATCACAGTTTTCAAAGATGCTGTCAAAAAAAACTTGATTTGCTGAGGTCTATTATGTGCACACTGCTGCTACTGCATCAGTTGTGATGAAATCCATTCCCAAGATTCTGAGAATGTAATATTCAGGGAACAGAACATTCCCAAAAATAATGGCAGCATCTGTGGAGGGAGAAACAGAATTAACAATCTTCGGAGGAGTCATATTGGACTTGAACCATTAAAATCTCTGTCCACAGATGGTGCCAGATCTGCTGAGTCTCTCCAGCAGTTTCAGTTTTTATTTCACATCCCCAGTAGTTTGCTCTTTCTTTAGCATTCCGAAAGATGTGAGGTAACAACAAGCACTATTCTGCCCTGTAATAGGGATGGGGCTATAGCTGTTCTAATGTGTATAGTGAACGTTGTTCTTTGTTCAAAACCATGGAATCTTGTGGCTTTGTTCTCTCAGTACGTCCTCCAGATCTCATCTGTTGTCTACTTTAAAAGTAAAGGTTACTTTTCTTGAAAGGTGCATTGTAACAATTTGGTGATCTTGCTTGGGATCATAACAAAAATCATAGCAAAACATGTCAGACTGGTCTAAATAATACTGTACGAGTGACAGCAGTAATACAGTCTATGACACTAATTCAATTAATTTCTTAATATCCAGAACTAACTTGGGAAATATGGGCAGTACACAGTGATCAGACCCATGGTGCACATCAAATAGCAAATGCAGTCGAGACATATCCCATGGATTTATCATCCAACCCCTGTGCCCCATATTTTAATGACATGATGGATCATCAAATTTCATTAAACTTCGTAAGGGATTATTCTTCTTTCCATTTGCCAATCCAGCCTTGATACGCCGTCTCAAGAACCATTTCATCATAGACAGCCTCAACAACTGCTCCTATTCTGGTTTGCTCCTCTTGGATGTATTCATAGGCACAATTCTAGCTTTTCGCTGACAGTAGATTTCTTCAAGCTTGAAACTGCCCCAGGGTTTTCACTGAGCTCTAATCTTCACAAGTTTCATAATCTCCCCTCCCCCTACCGCATCCCAAAACCAGTCCAGTTCGTCCCTGCCTCCCTAACCTGTTCTTCCTCCCACCTATCCCCTCCTCCCACCTCAAGCCGCACCTCCATCTCCTACCGACCAACCTCATCCCGCCCCCTTGACCTGTCCGTCCTCCCTGGACTGACCTATCCCCTTCCTAACTCCCTACCTACACTCACCTTTACTGGCTCCATCCCCGCCTCCTCGACCTGTTTGTTTCCTCTCCACCTATCCTCTCCTCTATCCCTCTTCTATCTGCCTCCCACTCTGTCCCTATTTATTTCAAAACCCCCTTCCCCTCCCCCTTTTCTGATGAAGGATCTAGGCCCGAAACATCAGCCTCTCTGCTCCTATGATGCTGCTTGGCCTGCTGTGTTCATCCAGCCCTGCACCTTGTTGTCTCGGATTCTCCAGCATCTGCAGTTCCTACTATCTCTCACCCCTAAAATAGAGTCTGTTTGTCCCTTTAGAGTCATAGAAATCTACAGCACAAAAAAAGTTCCTTTAGCCCATTATGTCCATGCTGGTCAAAAACACCCAGCTAACTATCCCAATCCCATTTTCCAGCACTTGGCCCATATCCTTGCGAGTACAATCTAAATACTTCTTAAACATAATGAGGATTTCTGCCTCAACCACCTTGCGGGCAGCAAGTTCAAGATTCCCACCACCCTCTGGAGGCAAAAAAAAGTTCCCAACATCTCCTCTAAATCTTCTGCCCGTTGCCTTAAATCAATGCCCTCTGGTCATTGATCTTTCCATCAAGGGGAGACATTTCTTCCTGTCTAACCCATCTATGCCCATCATAATTATATACATCTCATTTATGATCCTTCTCAATCTCCTCTGTTCCAAGGGAAACAACCCCAGGCTATCCAATCTCTCTTTATAACTAAAACTCTCCACCCCAGACGACATGCTGGTAAATCTTCTCTACAGTCTATACAATTTGTCACATTCCTCCTAGATTCCAGAGCTACGCACAATACTTTGGCTGTGGCTTAAGCAACAGTTTATACAGTTCCAGCATAACCTCCGTTACTCTTTCTCAAACTGTCCATGATACCCTGAAACTGCTTTTCAATAACCTTTTAACTGTACTGAATGACCTGTCAAAAATTTTGCAACAAACCCTGTTGCTATCACAGGGCAGTTTTGAATATTGCCACCTAACATCTTTTGGAATGATCTGTTCTGTCTCACTCTCGCAAAAATCTAGAACTGGATTTCACCTTTCACTGGTGAAGGGCTTTATTGTATTCCCTTCGACTGACAGTGTCCGTTATTTTACTCTATTGATATTTAATCAGTGACAAAATGTTCTCCAATTGATTCCCTTAATGATTGACAGAGAATAAGTATTTCAAAAGAAACTAAAAGGCATTAAGTTACAATCCAGCTTCTGTTCTGTTTTCAGTACTGAAATTGATGAGACTGATGAAATACGAAAGTATAAGGCAACTCAATGTGCATATCAATGCTATGGTGTACTGATGATTTTTTCTTCTCCAAAAAAGCTCTCTGTATTCCACCCTGTGAACATGGTGGATCTTGTATAACCAGAAATACCTGCTCTTGCCATTATGGGTTTGTGGGCCCAAGATGTGAAACAAGTAAGTATACTATTTGGCTTGGTATTATCCTGAACATCAAAAACTTAAAATTTCCTCATGCAATGTAAGTTGGGCTTTATTAAAGAGAGGATCAAGTGCAAATTATTTCCTTGTTACATGAAAAATTGGCACTCTGGTATTTATTACATGTGAGCACTGAATCATTCTCCTCCACTGTGGCAAATCATCTGACTGTTCTGGAGGACCCAATAGAGAAGTAATATTGGTCATTTGCTCAATATAACTAGAAACCAGAGCAAGATCTTGTCTCATGGCAGACTAAATATATGGAATAGACCACCTGAAAACGTTGTTCATTTTGAGATGATTTAATACCTTTAAAAAAGGATCCTAATCAATACTTGTCAAGATTGAAACAGTAGGGTCAAATCACAGACTGCGAAATCTGAAACAAAAATAGAACATGCTGGAGAAACTCAACAGGTCTGGCAGCATCTGTGGAGGGAAAACACAGTTAACATTTTGAATCCTATGATACTTCTTTAGAACTAAAAGAAGCTGGGAAATGATGGCATTTATGCTGAAGAAGGGGTTTGGGGGAATGGGTACTGGAGTGGGAAATAAGATGAATAGATGGAAGCAGTGCCAGAGAATAAGCCGATAAGATCATAAGAAAAAGAAACAGGAGTAGGCCATTCAGCCTGTCCAGCCTGCTCCACCATTCATGGTTGATCTGACATTCCTCAAAACTACTTTCCAGCACTTTCCCTGAAACCCTTGATTCCCCAACTGATCAAGAATCTATCTCACTGAACCTTAAGTGTACGCAAGAACTCTGTTCTCATAGCTCTCTGTAGCAAGGAATTCCAAAGACTCTCAACCCTCCAAGAAAAGAAATTCATCCTATCTCAGTTTTAAATTTGCACCTCTTTATTCTAAGACTCTGCCCTCTGGTCCTACACTCCACTATGAGGGGAAGCATCCTGTCAGCATTGACCCTGTCAAGCCCCTTAGGAATCTTACATGTTTCAATAAGAACACCTCTCATTCTCCTAGACTCCAGTAAGTACTGTCCCAACCTTTTCAGCCTTTGTTCATGAGGCTGTTCCTAAGTACCAGGGATCATCCAAGTGAACCTTCTCTGAACTACCTCCAATTGAAACAATGTCTTCCCTTAAATAACGGGACCAAAATGGCTCAGAGTACTCCAGATGTGATCTCATCAACATCTTGTACAGTTGCAGAGAGACTTCCCTACTCTTATACTCGAATCTTCTTGAAGTAAGGACCAACATTTCATTACCCTTCCTGAATGCCTGCTGCACTATTGTGCAAGCTTTCTGTGTTTCATGCACAGGAACCCCCAAGTCCCATTGTGTTGCAGCTTTCTGCAGTTTACCCCGTTCAAATAATAGTTATTTTGCTCTCCCTTCCAAAATGAACAACTTCAGATTTTCCTACATTATACCCACTTGCCATCTTTTCCCTACTTACTTAACCTATCAGTATCTCTTTGCAAACAGTTTGTATCCTTCTTGCAACTTGTCTTTCCACCTATTTTTGTATCGTCTGAAATTTGGCTACAGTACATTCACTTACTTCCTCTAAGCCATTAACATATGTATTGTAAACAGTTGTAGTCCCAGCACTGATCCACATGGACCCCCATAGACCACAGATCACCAACCTGAATAATAAATCCTTAGCCCCATTCACTGTTACCTGCCCATTAGCCAATTCCCTATCAATACCAACATACTACTTCCAACCTCCTACGGCTGTGCTAGGAGCAACCCATAGAGAGCAGAACCTGGGGCTGTGGAAGTGGGTAAGGAACAATGGGACTTATGCTTTACATCACTTGAAAATATTTGTTCTGTTGAAATTGTGAAGTTCTTCATTTCTTTGTGCTGGTGGACCTGTTGAATTCAACTCTTTTGTATTTACAGTGGTTTGCAATAGACACTGTCAGAATGGCGGGAAGTGTATTTCCCCTGATGTGTGTAAATGTAAGGATGGTTGGTCGGGACCCTCATGTGAAACAGGTAAATTAATTGGAACCTTGAGTGTTAAACTTCAAGTCTCTACTTCTGTGTTCACATGAACTTGTGGTTGTGTTGTCAACTAGAGCTTTTGCATGTCTCTCCAAGGATAGCTTTTGCAAGGTTTAACTGAATATGATGTTCTCCTCAAAGTCATCCTCAACTCACAGCAAATACCTAAAACAGAAGTTATTCTGTTTCTCTAAACGGCAATGCACACAACTTTTAATTGATACACTGATTAATTTCTCATTTTGTGCAGCTGTTTGCACCCCTGTATGTCTTAATGGCGGAATTTGTGTTCGACACAATATATGCATCTGTCCTCGTGGTTTCTATGGACTTCACTGTCAGAGTGGTAAGTTCTCTCCCTAGGGGCATTTATTTATGATTTAGCACTGTGCACTATTCGGCAATAACTGGGTTTCTGCAAATGATTTAATGGCTAAGAAATGCATGTAAATAACATTGCATGCCTTCCTGTTCAGTATAGGTCAGAATAAGTAACTCTGAGCTATTCTGTCCAAGGGACTTATTTAGCTCAGACTCCAAAGCAAGGGAATTTTGTTCCAAAAATCAAGGATCATTTCTCGAATGCTCTCCACTTCAAGCACACTCAATTGTTTTCAAATATATTTTGTTCCCTGGGTTTCTGCTCAAAGTTAAGCTGCACATCAGCGGAGATATGCCATGAATGAATGCAGTGTTACAATTTGAAACTTCTTTGAAGTTTTACTTTTAAAACATCCCTTGATAAATTGGTAACTGGGAATGGGTATATCACACCAAAAGACATAACAAATCACAGACAACAAAACAGAAATTGCTAGAGAAACTCAGCAGGTCTGGCAGCATCTGTGGAGAGAAAGCAGAGTTAATGTTTCGGGTCCAGTAATCCTTCTTCATGAACACACTAAATCACAGCATGAAAACAGCAAAATTCATAGCTGACATTGGAGAAACCTGTGTGGGGAGATCACAGCAGGGGAGCAGCTAAGTGGCTAGTTTTTTTTGTAAATCTACAATAGTGAGTAGAGTGAATATATGTTTTTATTGAGGTCTGTTTCTTGATTAAACTTTAAAAATATAAAGCATAGGTACTAAGTTAGCCTGGAGCAGTGTTTTTAGAGAGTAAGACAGTTCTATTTTCTAGGCGTGTAGATAGTTAAGATGCAAACATGCCCTTTAGTGGAGTGATGTGCTCTTCCTGTTGGATGTGGGAGATTAGGGAGAATCATAGAATCCCTGTAGTGTGGAAACAGGCCCTTTGGCCCAACAAGTCCATACTGAACCTCAGAGCATCCCACCCAAACCCATCCCCCATAACCTACACCTTCCTGAACACTACAGGCAATTTAGCATGGCCAATCCACCTAACCTGCGCAACTTTGGACTGTGGGAGGAAACCCACGCAGACACAGGGAGAATGTGCAAACACCACACAGACAGTCACCCGAGGCTGGAATCAAACCCGGGTCCCTGGTGCTGTGAGGCTGTAGTGCTAACCACTGAGCCACCGTGCCGCCCATGTTACTGATGATTATGTCTGCCAGTAGTGTGTTCGTTTGCCAATCCTATCGGATCGCATGGATCAGTTGGAGTGGCAGTTTAGAGGCAATGAGAAATTTACAGGAGTTTACAGGGGGTGCGATGGATGGCAGTTGCAGGAAGGGAGATAAAGTGAAGATACAGTCAGGTAGAGGGGTGACCTCCAGGAAAGGTAGGAGAGGGAGGCAGGTCATGCAGGAGTCTCCTGTGGCTATCCCCATCTCAAACAAGTATGCTGTTTTGGAAAATGAACATAGAACATAGAATATTACAGTGCAGTACAGGCCCTTCGGCCCTCAATGTTATGCCGACCTGTGAAACCAATCTGAAGCCTATCTAACCTACACTATTCCATTATCATCCATATGTTTATCCAATGACCATTTAAATGCCCTTATAGTTGGCGAGTCTATTAGTTTTGCAGGCAGGGAATTCCACGCCCTTACTACTCTCTGAGTAAAGAACCTACCTCTGACATCTGTCCTATATCTATCACCCCTCAATTTAAAGCTATGTCCCCTCGTGCTAGTCATCACCATCCGAGGAAAAAGGCTCCCACTGTCCACCCTATCTAATCCTCTGATCATCTTGTATGTCTCTATTAAGTCACCTCTTAACCTTCTTCTCTCCAACGAAAACAGCCTCAAGTCCCTCAGCCTTTCCTCATAAGACCTTCCCTCCATACCAGGAAACTTCCTCGTAAATCTCCTTTCCAATGCTTCCACATCCTTCCTATAATGCGGTGACCAGAACTGTACGCAATACTCCAAGTGCGGCCGCACCAGAGTTTTGTACAGCTGCAACATGAGCTCATGGCTCCGAAACTCAATCCCTGTACCAATAAAACCTAACACACCGTACGCCTTCTTAACAACCCTATCAACCTGGGTGGCAACTTTCAGTGATCTATGCACATGGACACCGAGATCTCTCTGCTCATCCACACTACCAAGAATCTTACCATTAGCCCAGTACTCTGTATTCCTGTTACTCCTTCCAAAGTGAATCACCTCACACTTTTCCGCATTAAATGCCATTTGCCACCTCTCAGCCCAGCTCTGCAGCTTATCTACGTCCCTCTGTAACCTGCAACATCCTTCCGCACTATCCACAACTCCACCGAGTTTGGTGTCATCCGCAAATTTACTAACCCATCCTTCTACGCCCTCATCCAGGTCATTTATAAAAATGACAAACAGCAGTGGCTTCAAAACAGATCCTTGAGGTACACCACTAATAACTGAACTCCGGGATGAACATTTCCCATCAACCACCACCATCTGTCTTCTTACGGTTAGCCAATTTCTGATCCAAACCGCTAAATTACCCTCAATCCCATGCCTCCGTATTTTCTGCAATAGCCTACCATGGGGAACCTTATCAAACACTTTACTGAAATCCATATACACCACATCAACCGCTTTACCCTCATCCACCTGTTTGGTCACCTTCTCAAAGAACTCACTAAGGTTTCACAAAACCGTGTTGACTATCCCTAATCAAATTATTCCTTTCTAGATGATTATAAATCCTAACTCTTATAATCCTTTCCAACACTTTACCCACAACCGAAGTAAGGCTCACTGGTCTATAATTACCAGGGTTGTCTCTACTCCCCTTCTTGAACAAGGGGACAACATTTGCTAGTCTCCAGTCTTCTGGCACTATTCCTGTAGACAATGACGACATAAAGATCAAAGCCAAAGGCTCTGCAATCTCCTCTCTAGCTTCCCAGAGAATTCCAGGATAAATCCCATCCGGCCCAGGGGACTTATCTATTTTCACACCTTCCAGAATTGCTAACACCTCCTCCTTATGAACCTCAATCCCATCTAGTCTCATAGCCTGTATCTCAGTATTCTCCTCGACAACATTTTCTTTTTCCTGTGTGAATACTGACGAAAAATATTCATTTAGCGCCTCTCCTATCTCTTCGGCCTCCACGCACAACTTCCCACTACTGTCCTTGACTGGCCCTAATCTTACTCTAGTCATTCTTTTATTCCTGACATACCTATAGAAGGCTTTAGGGTTTTCCTTGATCCTACCTGCTAAAGACTTCTCATGTCCCCTCCTGGCTCTTCTTAGCTCTCTCTTTAGGTCCTTCCTGGCTAACTTGTAACTCTCAAGCGTCCTAACTGAGCCTTCACGCCTCATCTCTACATAAGCCTGCTTCTTCCTTTTGACAAGAGATTCAACTTCTTTAGTAAACCACGGTTCCCTCGCTCAACCACTTCCTCCCTGCCTGACAGGTACATACTTCTCAAGGACATGCAGTAGCTGTTCCTTGAACAAGCTCCACATTTCAATTGTGCCCAGCCCCTGCAGTTTCCTTCTCCATCCTATGCATCCTAAATCTTGCCTCATCGCCTCATAATTGCCTTTCCCCCAGCTATAACTCTTGCCCTGCGGTATATACCGATCCCTTTCCATCGCTAAAGTAAATGTAACCGAATTGTGGTCACTATCACCAAAGTGCTCACCTACCTCCAAATCTAACACCTGGCCTGGTTCATTACCCAGTACCAAATGCAATGTGGCCTCGCCTCTTGTTGGCCTAACTACATACTGTGTCAGGAAACCCTCCTGCACACATTGGACAAAAACGGACCCATCTGAAGTACTCGAACTATAGCGTTTCCAGTCAATATTTGGAAAGTTAAAGTCCCCCATAACAACTACCCTGTTACTTGTGCTCCTATCCAGAATCATCTTTGCAATCTTTTCCTCTACATCTCTGGAACTTTTCAGAGGCCTATAGAAAACTCCCAACAGGGTGACCTCTCCTTTCCTGTTTCTAACCTCAGCCCATACTACCTCAGTAGACGAGTCCTCATCAAACGTCCTTTCTGCCACCATTATACTATCCTTGACTAACAATGCCACACCTCCCCCTCTTTTACCACATTCCCTGATCTTACTGAAACATCTAAACCCCGGAACCTGCAACAACCATTCCTGTCCCTGCTCTATCCATGTCTCCGAAATGGCCACAACATCGAAGTCCCAGGTACTAACCCATGCTGCAAGTTCACCCACCTTACTCCGGATGCTCCTGGCATTGAAGTAGACACACTTGAAACCACGTTCCTGCCTGCCGGTACACTCCTGTGACCTTGAAACCTTATTCATGAAGGGGTTCCATTAATGTAGGGGTGATGGACTCTCAGAGGAAATTAGCACAGACAGCCAGGTTTCTGGTACTGAAACTGGCTGTAATGTAACGAGGGGTATGCCAGGTTCCAAGCAGTCGATTGTGATAGGGGGTTCTCTAGTCAGAGGCAGAGACAGATGTTTCTGTGGCCGAAAATGAAATATCAAAATTGGGTGTTGCTTCCCTTTTGCGAGGATCAAGGATCTCTTGGAGAGGGTGCAGAATATTCTCAAAGGAGAAAGGGACCGGCAGGAGGTTGTTGTACACGTTGGACCTAATTGGAACAGATAAGGATGAGATTCTGAGGAAAGAATATAGGAAGTTAGGTCGGAATTTAAAAAGGGGGTCCTTGAGGGTAATAATATCTGGATTACTTCCGGTGCCACAAGCTAGTGAGGGTAGGAATTGAAGGATAGTGTTGATGAATGCTTGGCCGAGGAGCTGATGCAGGGGAAAAGGATTCACATTTTTGGATCATTGAAATCTCTTCTGAGGTAGAAGTGACCTATCAGGGTGGGCAGGAACAAAGCAGAGAACAAGGTAGGACTGATAAATTAAACTGCATTTATTTCAATGCAACAGGCCTAACAGGTAAGACAGATGATCTCAGGGCATGGTTAGGAACATGGGACTGGGATATCATAGCAATTCCAGAGACATGGCTGAGGGAAGGACAGGACTGGCAGCTTAATGTTCCAGGGTATAGATGCTATAGGAAGGACAGAAAGAGGAGCAAGAGAGGAGGACGAGTGGTGTTTTTGATTAAGGATAACATTACTGCTGAACTTAGGGAGGATATTCCTGGGAATACGTCCAGGGAAGTTATTTGGGTGCAACTGAGAAATGAAAAAGGGATGATCAACCTATTGGGATTGTACAATAGACCCCCCATTAGTCAGAATGAAATTGAGAAACGCATTTGTAAGGAGATCTCAGTTATCTGGGACTGCCATAGTGTTAGGGGCTTGGATGGATAGGAACTTGTTAAGAGTATACAAGAAAATTTTCTGATTCAGAATGTGGATGTACCTACTAGAGAAGGTGCTCAACTTGACCTACTCTTTGGAAATAAGGCAAAGCAGGTGACTGAGGTGTCATTGGGGAACGCTTTGGGGCCAGTAACCATAATCCAATAGTTTTAAAATAGTGATGGAAGAGGATAGACCAGATCTAAAAGTTAAAGTCCTAAATTGGAGGAAGGCCAATTTTGACGGTATTAGGCAAGAACTTTCAAAAGTTGATTGGGGCGGATGTTCACAGGTAAAAGGATGGCTGGAAAATGGGAAACCTTTAAAAATAAGATAACAAGAGTCCAGAGACAAGATGTTCCTGTTAGGGTGAAGGGCATGGCTGGTAGGTGAAGGGAATGCAGGATGAATAGAGAAATTGAGGTTTTGATCAAGAAAACGAAGGAAGCATATGTCAGGTACAGACAGCAGGGATCAAGTGAATCTCTTGAGAGTATAAAGGCAGTAGGAATATACTCAAGAATGAAATCAGGAGGGCAAAAAGGGGACATGAGATAGCTTTGGCAAATAGGGTTAAAGAGAATCCAAAGAGATTCTACAAATACATTAAGGACAAAAGGGTAATGAGGGAGAGAATAGAGGCCCTTATAGATCAGCAAGGCCACCACAGGAGATGGGGAGATACTAAACAAGTATTTTGCATCAGTGTTTACTGTGGAGTGGAATATGGAAGATAGAGAACGTGGGGAAATAAATAGTGACATCTTGAAAAATGTCCGTATTGCAGAGGAGGAGGTGCTGAACGTCTTAAAACGCATAAAGGTGGATAAATCCCTGGGACCTGGTCAGGTGTACCCTAGAATACTGTGGGAAGCGATGGAAGAAATTGCTGGGCCACTTGCTGAGGTATTTGTATAATCAATAGCCACAGGTGAGGTGCTGGAAGACTGGAGGTTAGCTAACGTGCCACTGTTTAAGAAAGGTGGTAAGGAAAAGCCAAGGAACTATAGACTGATAAGCCTGACATCGTTGGTGGGCAAGCTGTTGGAGGGAATCCTGAGAGACAGAATTTACAGGTATTTGGAAAGGCAAGGACTGATTAGGGATCATCAACATGGCTTTGTGCATGGGAAATGGTGTCTCACTAACTTGACTGAGTTTTTTGAAGAAGTAATGAAGAGGATTTATGAGGGCAGAGTAGTGGATGTGATCATTATAGACTTCAGTAAGGTGTTCGACAAGGCTCCTCATGGTAGACTAGTTAGCAAGGTTAGATCATACAGAATACAGGAAGAACTAGCAATTTGGATACAGAACTGGCTCAAATGTAGAAGACAGAGGGTGGTGATAGAGGGTTGCTTTTCAGACGAGGCCTGTGACCAGCGGTGTGCCACAAAGATTGGTGCTGGGTCCACTGCTTTTTGTCATTTATGTAAATGATTTGGATGTGAACATAGGAGATATGGTTAGTAAGTTTGCAGATGACACTAAAATTGGAGGTGTAGCAGACAGTGAAGAAGTTTACTTCAGAGTACAACAGGACCTTGATCAGATGGGCCAATGGGCTGAGGAGTGGCAGATGGAGTTTAATTTAGATAAATGTGAGGTGCTGCATTTTGGAAAGGCAAATCAGGGCAGGACTTATACACTTAATGGTAAGGTCCTGAGGAGTGTTGCTGAACAAACAGACCTTGGAATGCATATTCATAGTTCTTTGAAAGTGGAGTCGCAGATAGGTAGGATAGTGAAGAAGGTGTTTGGTATCCTTGCTTTTATTGGACAGTGCATTGAGGAGAGGAGTTGGGAGGTCATGTTGCAGCTGTACAGGACATCGGTTCATCCACTCTTGGAGTATTGCATGCAGTTCTGGTCTCCCTCTTATAGGAAGGATGTTGTGAAACTGGAAAGGGTTCAGAAAAGATTTATGAGGATGTTCCTAGGTTTGGAGGGTTTAAGCTAGAGGGCGAGGCTGAATAGGCTGGGCCTATTTTTACTGGATTGTCGGAGGCTGAGGGGCGAACTTATAAAGGTTTATAAAATCATGAGGGGCATTGATAGGGTAGATAGGCAAGGTCTTTTCCCTGGGGTGGGGAAGTCGAAAACCAAAGGCCATTGGTTTAAGATGAGAGGGGAAAGATACAAAAGTGACCTAAGGGGCAACATTTTCATGTCGCGAGTGGTGTGTCTGTGGAATGAGCTGCCAGAGGACGTGGTGGAGGCTGGTACAATTACAACATTAAAAAGACATCTGGATGGGTAAATGAATAGGAAGGGTTTAGAGGGAAATGGACCAAATGCTGGCAAATAGGACTAGGTTTATACAGGATATTTGGTCGGCATGGGTGAGTTGGATGGAAGGGTTTATTTCCATGCTGTGTATCTCTATGACTCTTTGACCTATTAAGTAAGTAAACCCGATTTTAAATGACTGAGAACAATTTTTTTTTTGGAAAAAAAAACTCTGCTTGGGTCATGGTACAATAATGAACTCCAGCAAAAGAATAAATTTGTACAAGAAAATATTTCAAACTAAAAATATTAGCATCCTTTCATCCATTTATTTAAGCTTAAGTTTTAAAATTTCCTCAAAAGCCCAACAATGAAAATTAGGGAAAATTGTGTTACAACACAGATATAGCCAAATAAAATCACCCCCCCACCTCTGCATTTGCGATACAGAATAAAAACATTCAAAATTGACCCCAATGGTTTACTGACCAGACTTTGTGAATAACGAATCCCAGACTTTGTGAATAATCGATTCCAGGCACGAAGTTTATAGCTTAAACAAAAGATTTAACAAATTATTAACAATTCAGTAACTTTAACGGAACAAAATTAAACAGCAATGCAATTTAGTTAATATCTATGATTTAGAGTCAATAAGTTCTGTTTTCAGCCCAATTCACACAAAAGACAGACAGACAGAAGGGATAATGAAGGGATAAATTGTTTTTAAGAAGTAACAAAACTGGCCAGATTACTTAATTGGTTTTCATGATGTGTTGTTCCGCAGGCATATATCATTGTTTCTTGGATGATTTCCTGAGGATGTTGATCAGTGCTACCTTTCAGTTTACTCTTGAGGAAGATTCAGTATTACTTACAAAAAACCAAAGAACTGTGCATGCTGGAAATCTGAAAGGAAAGCAGAAATTGCTGGAGAAACTCAGCAGGCTCGCAACTCTGTGAACGGAAAACAGAGTTAACGTTTCAGGTCCAGTGACACCTGTTCAGAATCATTCCGCAGATGCTGCCAGATCTGCTGAGTTTTTGCGACAATTTCTGTTTTGTTTGAGTAACACTAATAACTTAGCTTCCGGTCTCTGAACTTCCAGTAGTTGATAATGGGAGATTAGGCAGGGAGCTTTCAAATCCTCACGCCATAGCTTCAGCAGCCAAACGCCTCCTCTCAGAAACACCCAGTTCAAAACAGTTCAAAAGCTCTGGTCTCTCTCCCTGTTTGACCAACATGGTCTCTCCCAGACTTACTGGCAACCATTCCCAGGTATTGACCTCATTAATAGCCAAACATCTCCTGTCTGTTTAAACATACTACTTTCCTAGAGCTTAAGTGTCTGTAGAATCTTTTGATTAGAAACCAACTTGCAATCAACTTGCAGCTCACAATTCACAGCCACCAAACTAAAATTTATTTTAAAAACTAAAATAATGAAAAATCAGCAATGGTTCTGACAATTGCTAGTTATGATCAATATACCTGAAGGACAGACTTGCTTCCTGGTAGTCAAACTGCACTGAATACAGTTTTTCCTTAAAATGTGTGCACCCAATGCTGATATCAGGGGAATTGTACCAAGTAAACCAGTGTGACCAAGCACAAACTCTGGGTCTTTTTCCTTTTTTCTGTGAAATGTATAACCAATTGTATTTCTGTTAAGGAATAAATATGTTTATCTTTTCTTTTGCGATTTTTTTTCTCTTATCAGCAGGTTTCAGAACATACATCTTGTACAGCACTTCCAAATATTGTTGTGCTAGTGGGAATTAAAATGTGCTGATAAGTCATTGAGTAATTCTGTAGAAATCCAAGTACCTTTCCACCTTTTAAGAAGTAGGTGATGTTGCTTATAAACTGTTTCACGGGTCATCAGGCTCAGGATTAATGCTTCAAAATTAACCCTGCTACTTAACATAGCAAACTTTCAGAATTTCAAAATCAGCATAGCAAACACACCAAGCAATTGAACCCTGAGTTTTCAAGGGATCATTGAAACCTGAACCTGAACAATACAAGACCAATTCTGAACTGAAGTCATCTATCTGCATTATAAAGTTAGAGATTTATTTTAATTTGTGTAAATAATAATTGTGTAATAGTACTGCTTTGTATTTTTCTACAAAAGGAAGTGTCTGAATGGAGTTGCTTATAATAACATTAAAATACAATCTCCTGTTTTGTAGCTGTTTGCAGTCCCCCCTGCAAGAATGGTGGTCACTGCATGAGAAACAATGTGTGCTCCTGTCCTGATGGCTATACGGGAAGAAGATGCCAGAAGAGTGAGTTCTATTCCCCTCTTTGTGTCAACATTTTTCAGAGACTGATTCAGTCAGCTTTTTTTAATTCATCAGAAATGTTAAAAATATGGTCTTGTACATTTATAAGTATCAATGAAGCTAATAGCAAAAGTTGAACTGGTAATACCTACTTATTCCAATTGTAGTTTTTGCTTTTATTCCAGTATAATGCAAATTCTTATGGCATTGTCAAAAAGCTCTATGTAGTTTATTTTCATTCTTTTTGCACCCATTTTACATCTCTTTATGGCTTTCGTCCCCATTAAAACCGCTTTATCTTTTGCACTGGGCCTCTCTCACATCTGCTTTCTTGCAGCCTGTCGAAAATATAATAAAATGTTTTCCAATGCTTTTCAGTTCTGAAGAAGAGTTGTACTGGACTTGAAATGTTAACTCCGTTTCTCTCTTCACAGATACTGTCAGATTTGCTGAGTTTCTCCAGCATTCTCTGTGTTTGACTCAGACTTCAATCATTAGCAGTAATTTGCTTTTATTCTTCGTTTACTAACTAAACAAAGGGAGCACCTAGCTTCCAGTTAACTTTGGGGTTAGGATCATTTTGCTCTTGTGTGGACTGTCTCCCATTCTAGTCAAGGATAAAAGGTAGGGATTTGTATGACTGTTCCAGACTGATGACTAACCAGAACACATTGTATTTGAATACTATCAACTCCTATCAGTCAGAATTCCATTGGACATCTGCATTAACCTTCCAACTGCCAAGTTTTAAAGGGGATGGCAAATCAGCAGAGGACTATTTTAGTGGACTCCAGTTACATTTGTACAGCACGTGAATTTCCTGTTGGTCTACTAGGCTGTGGTTTCACATGGAGCATTTGCAAAAGTTTTATTGAAAGTCACAATTCCAATGCAAGAAACAAGAATTTATCTGAATGAACAATTGTTGACCATGGCATAGCTGTACATGTGACTGCTACTTTACCATTTTTTTTGATGGCAGTTTGCCACAAAATGTGCATAGGTTTTTTTTGAATAGATTAATGACAGTTTAGCAGATGTGACCATTCAGGCTTTGATCAACCTGTCAGCCAATGTACTCTAATTAGAGCTATATTATACCTGGATCATGAGATCTGCCACATTGTTTGCTCTTATGATCTGTTCGTCATTTGTCAAATCATGGTATATGCTTGAAAATGAATGAAGGCATGCATCATCTTTTTTTTTAATCTTGCTTTTTTTGCTCCTCCTTTGCAGCCATAACTTGTATTCCTCGCCGTATGATCTTTCTATGTTATGACCTGTCTGTACTGCACACAAAACAAAACTTTTCACTGTACTTAGGTACATGTAACAATAATAAATCAAATCAAATTAAAAAGCTCATGTGGATAACTTGTCACTAATGGCAATATTGAACTGGGAGTTAAAAAAAACCAACAGCTGAGCAATGACCACACAGGCTTAAAATTGCTGTACTGGAAACAGGCAAACAAAAAACAAAAGCCTTAAAATTATAAAACAATTTAACTAAGAATTTCAATCTTCCATAACAAGATCAGACCCCAGCAACTCGAGACACTCATTGTATGAACATTGTTCCAATTTAGTAAGCACAGTGCAGATCAGAATCCGATCATATAGCAAGTATAAGAGCTTTGAAAGGACTAGCAGCTCCAAGGTCTGTGGTGGAAGGCCATTGGTCTTTTGTAATTTGAAGTGTTTGTCCACATTTATCCCTTCTGCAGGTGTCTGTGAACCAATGTGCATGAACGGAGGGAAATGTGTGAGCCCAGATATCTGTGATTGTCCGTCAGGTTGGAAAGGAAAGCGATGCAATCAACGTAAGTGCACCTTGGAATGATACGGAATTTGATTAAGCTAGATCAGATTTTCAAGCCTGCATTTGGTTTGGTAAAAACTGATTTTGAAAAGTTAGCAATTTAATAACCAGTGAAAAGATGTAATTCAGTCCATTCGGCTTGCACCAATTTATTTCTGTACATGAGCCATCAATTTAATCCAACTAACATGCTCATTCTGCATACCATTTAGTATTTTTTCTTCATAAATTCTTTTAGGAGGGGAGGTTGACAAAGTCTGCATTTGCAATTACTTTGCAGCAATGAATTCCATACCTAACAATTTGGTATGCCAACAAAATTCCCCTAACCTTTCACCCTTTTGTGACAATCTTAAAACATGTGAACTGTCAATGTAGCCTCATTAACATTTGATAATAATGTTACCAGTATTTAACTGGTCACAACCTTGAAGACCTTTGCAAGTCACTCATTATTTTTCTCTACACCAGTGAAAAATGTCTAGATTGCCGAGAGCATCTTTCAGGTTTTGTTTTCATTCTTGTCTACTGTTGACCTGAGAGTATAAAGATCTTGTGTTTCATCTTTTCTCCAATCACTTAAAGTATGACACTTTACTGGAAGCAGGCTTCTCTTTTGTAACATGATAACCCAGACACTTAAGTCCCTGAGGAATGTAATGTTTGTACATAATAGTTTGTGATAAATATCAGTTTAATTCTTAGTGATATCCATGCCCATTTTCTTATGTTACAATAGATAACATAATCGTCACAGGTAAAACACCCTGTTGGAGGAAACCTCACACCATTACATAAGGTTTATACAGTAATGTTCTTCGAATGTGGCACTCCACCATCCAGAATCTCTGGCATTTCCTCCAAAATTAGCTTCAACTACCATTATGACGCTTAATGACATACACATGACATGTCACCTTATGTAGTCTAACTTTTCCATTTTTATGAGCTGTATCCCAAATATCAATAATATAATTTGGATAGTGGTGTTATGTTTATAAGCCTGAAAATATGATGTTTATAAAACTGAAAATATGATGGCTTCCTGAGGCCATGACCATCCATGTTTGTGGTTTTGCATTATGACTATTGATGTGTTATAATATTTCAACTCCGTCAAGATACCATAAAGTTCTGTTTGTTCCACCCATTTAGGCTTTCCATTAAATGAATTTTTTCTTCAAGCACCGCCTATTCCCAGAGTGTGCTAGATATTTGACATTTACACTATTTTCACTGAATAGATTTTCTATTATCACTTGTGTACCCAGCAAACTGTCTGCAAAAGTGCCAGAATGGTGGAGAATGTGTGGGAGCGAATACCTGTCACTGTCAGCCTGGCTGGGAAGGCGTGCTGTGTCAAATCCGTAAGTAACAGAACCCAGATTAAAGTCAATGTTGTCCTATTTTGCATCACCAGTGTTGCCACTTTCTCATTACCTACCCTTTAACATATGTGTTCAATATCTTAGTGTTGTGAAAAAATGAAACTTAACCTATTTAAAATTGGCTGCCTAAACTTTATGTATCCCTGCAGGTGGTATGGATGAGAAGCTGCCTGTACTTTTTTGTTGCTCAGAGCCTATCTAACCCTTAGAATTGTAGCATGTTATAGCACAGAACAGGTTCATTTGGCCTACCATGTGCGTACAGGCTCATTGTCCAAACGTTCCTAATCTAATCACATTGTCCTGCACTCCATTATAAAGGACCTTTCTGTGTTTCAAATATGACCCGATTCCACCTTTAACAAGCAAAGGTTTCTGCCTCAACCACTTCTTGTGGCCAAGTAATCAATGGGAACATCTCCTCATCACTCTCCACAGAGGTGAATTTGGTTAGACCAATTTTAATGCAATGTGAACTCTTCTGAGCACTGTATTTAAAGGTTATAATGGTGTTAGAGAAAATGTAAAAATATCATTTATTAGAAGGAGAAGCAGATCCATTAGGGATGACCTGACAGAAGTTTTGAAGATCATAAAAGTGTTTCATACAGTAGATATAGAGAAAATATTTCCACTTGTGGACGATGCTGGGACTGTGAGCTATCAACATAGATAGTTACTAATAAATCAATTAGGAAATTTGTGAAAAGATCCTTTACCAAGCCAGCAGTTAGAATGCGGAACTTGCTATTATACTGGTGCATACAGACTTTCAAAGACATGCAACAATGTGCCAGAGACATTGGTGGAAAAATTGACTATGACATTGTGAATATAACATTGGTTAAGAGGAAAAAAAAAGTAGTTTTGAACAGTTCATTTTGAGGACTGAAGGTGGGTAAATTATGCAATTACCCGGAGGGCTGTACAAGGAACATTACATTTTTTCATCTGTATTAATGACAGGGCCATACAGGGCACAATTTCAAAATGTGTAGACATCACTGCACTTGCAGGTATTGTGAACTGTGGGAAGGGTAGTGATAGACTAGAGAGAACACAGGCTGCAGTATTTTATAAAAATATTTCTTTGGAATTTTCATTAGATTTCTTCAAACGTATTCTGCTATTTAATATCGTTATCACCATAAAGAAACTCATTGAGCTTCTCTTCCACAATGTACTTTCCATTATTGGCAAAGCATTCCTGGCACATGTTAAACTTTATTGATACTCTGTCAGTGTCAGTCATATTCCTGCAGTATAATTCCTCATGCCACTGTCAGAGTTGGGTACATGTAAGGGGAGTGCAATGAAATGTTGGCACAGGATCTGATTACCTCTGTCACATACCGATAAATCAATTCCAGGTTCTGACCCATTTTGAAAGCCGTTCAAGCGAGCACTGTCTTACTGAATGATACCTACACTTTCATGTAACTAAAATTGATGTACTATGTTGTCCACTGACAATGTATTATATGAAAGGAGATTTATTTTTAAATCCTGGATTTTTTGGTGAGTACTAATGCTAGTAACACTAAATAGGAGAAGGGTTTTTTTCTAAATGGGCAAGAAGGTCCTGTTCGGGAAGCAGTGCTATTCTTTTCCCACTTTCAGAATTGCAACTGGCATAAACAAAATTAGAATGGAAGAGCAGCATGGCTATCCAATAAATAAGTATATGGTTATAAGGCCAGACAACCTAATATCTCTACAAAATAAATAGTTAATTGTATCAAACATTATATTTGACAATAAGTTTGTCAACCAAGCAATGATAGAAACACCACAATTAACTAAAGTACCCAAAGCACAGGAGTGAATATCAGTCAATGGTTCTCTTTAGTGAGTGCTGTACTAAGACAGTTGTAGAATGAGTGTTGCATGTGGTAGAAAGTGTTATCTCACATTAGACAAGTAACCATCTTAAATGTGGAAATTTGGCTTTATATTAATGCCTGATTATGTTTCCAGCTATCTGCGAGCAGAAATGTTTGTTTGGAAGTAAGTGCATCAGACCAAATGTGTGTGCCTGCAGGAGAGGATACATGGGCTTAGCCTGCGCCAGAAAGGTAAAGCTTAAAGTCAAATGATAAAAAGTTGCTTAGGTATCAGACTTCCAAACAAAATCTCCATCACATTGATTGATTAACACTTTTGGGATTGCATTAAAACAAATTCACCGTGCTTAATAAGGGGCTGGATGAACACAGCAGGCCAAGCAGCATCAGAGGAGCAGGAAGGCTGACGTTTCGGGCCTAGACCATGCTTAACAGCAGTTTTTCCCCATTTATGATTTTTTTCATTTTTGGAGGGGCAGTTTAGGTAGGGGTAATAAATGCTGTCTTAGCCAGTGATGTCTATATCCTAGGAGAAGGTTGATCATGACTCAAGCATCATTCCTGTCATTTCCAATGTAGATCTGGAGAGTTGCAAGAATCCCAGAATCATGTCCTGACTTCAATGGACAGTGATGGAAAATTTTGATTCTTTTTCTGTGTTAGTCTTTTGGGAAAATAAAAGGATCATGATCCTCTTATGATTCCAACTGATGGTAATATGGACAAGTCAGATTCCACAAGGGATTCCAATTGATAGATCATACGTTTAATTTTTGAAGTCCGTTAATGTGGTGGTTAGTCACTGAAATACGTTCATACAAAGCAGCAGACGTTCCTTAACAACACATTGTAAGTTAATTACATAGCTTTGTTTTTCTTAATTCTCCAATGTCTACATCAAATAAAGTTCAAAAGATCATACAACAAACATCAAAACAAAGTTTCAGCCTGTTTCCCAATACTATCTTTCACAGAGACTCAATCCCAGAGACAGATGACTCCCATCTCAGCTTCTTAAATGTTTACTTAGCTGAAGCTTTCCAGTTTCTTTCCCTCTGACTGCTGAGACTTCTATGATTCCTTGCTGAGTCCGCAGGCTTTATAAGACCATTAGACATAGGAGCAGAATTAGGCCATTTGGCCTATCAAGTCTGCTCCACCATTCAATCATAGTTGCTATATTCCTCAACCACATTCTCCTGCCTTTTTCCCATAACCTTTGATCCACTTACTAAAAAGTTATCTACCTCTGCCTTAAATACTGTCAATGACTTGGCCTCCACAGCCCTCTGTGGCATTGTGTTCCACAGATTAGCCACCCTTTGGCTGAAGAAGTTCTGCCTCATCTGCATTCTAAAGGGTCATCCTTTCAATCTGAGGCTGTTCCCTCGGGTTCTAGTCTCTCCTACTAGAGGAAACATCTTCTCCATGTCCACTGTATCCAGGTCTATCTGTTTTCTGGAGGTTTCAGTCAGACTCCCCTCTCATTCTTCTAAACTCCATCAAAAACAGAGCGAGAGTCCTCATAACACAAGCCCTTCATCCCTGGGATCATTCTTGTAAACCTCCTCTGGATTCCCTCTGATGCCAGCACATCCTTTCTTAGACAAAGGGTGCAAAACTGCTCTCAATATTCCAAATAGTGTCTGACCACATCCTTATACAGCCTCAAGCAGTACATTTCTGCTCTTGTATTCTAACCCTCTTGAAACAAAAGCTCACACTGCATTTGACTTCCTAACCATCAACTGAACCTGCATTTTGATAGTGGGAAAATCATGAACTAAGACTCCCTGGTCCCTTTGTGCTTCAGATTTCCTAAGCCTCTCCTTGTTTAGAAAATAGTCTATGCCTCTATTCTTCCTACCAAAGTGCATAACCTCATTCATTCCCACATTATATTCCATCTGCCACATTTTTTTCCCATTCTCCTAGTCATTCTGCAGCCTCCCTGCTTTCTCAACACTGCCTGGCCCTCCATCTGTCTTTGTTGTTAAGTTTGCAGATGACACAATGGCTTCAGTTCCTTTGTCCAGATTGTTAATGTATAACATGAATAGTTGTCACAACACTGACCCCTGCGGAAATCCATTAGACACCGGCTGTACCCCTTTATCCTTACTCTCTGCCTTCTGACATTCCGCGAATTCTCTATCCATGCCAGTACCTTGTCCCGAACATCATGTGTTTTTATCTCATTTAGCAACCTCCTGTGTGGCATCTTGTCAACGGCCTTCTGGAAATCCAAATAGATCACGTCCATTGGCTCTCCTTTGTCTAACTTGCTCATTACCTTCTCAAAGAATTCTAACAGAGTTGTCAGGCATGACCTCCCCTTGACAAAGCCATGTTACTTTATTATGTACTTCCGAGTATTCTGAAACCTGAAACTTAATAATGGATTCTAAAATCTTACCAATAACCAAAGTCAGGCTAACTGACATTTGGTTTCCTGTCTTCCATTTCCCTCCCTTCTGCCATTTTCCAGTCTTGAGGGACCCTCCCTGAACTCCAGTGACTCTTGAAAGATACCACCAATGTTTCCACAATATCCTCAGCTATCTCCTTCAGAACTCTAGGGTGTAGTCCATCCAGTCTGGATGATATAGCCACTTTCAGGTCTTTCAACTTCTCCAGCACCTTCGCCATAGTGAGAACGACTACATTCACCACTGCCCCCGACTCCCTTGAAGTTCTGGTATGTTGCTGGTGTCTTCCACTGTGAAAACTGATGCAAAGTATCTATTCAGTTCCTCCACCTTTTCTTTGTTCCCATTGCTAGTTCTCCGCCTCATTTTCAATGGTCCAATGTCCACTGTTATCACTCTTACATTTCTTGCAATCTTCTTTTATCTTACTAGCTAGCTTACTCTTATTTTTCATCCTCTCCCACACGTTATGGCTTTTTTAGTTGTTGTCTGCTGGTTTTTAAAGTCTTCCTAATCACCTGGTTTCCCAATAATCTTCACCACATTATATGCAATTTTTTTTGCTTTTATGCTGACCTCGACTCCCCTTGTCAGCCATAGTTGCCTCATCTTCCTCTTAGTATGTTTCTTCTTCCTTAGGACGAATTTCTGCTGTGCCTCCCAAATTACCCCCTGAAAGTCCTGCCATTGCTGCTCCACCATCTTCCCTGCTAGGCTCCCCTTCCAATCAACTCTGGCCAGCTCCTCCCTCATGTCTTTGTAGTTTCCTCAACTCAATTGTAATATTGTTACATCTGATTCAATCTTCTCCCTCTCAAACAAATTCAATCATGTTATGGTCACTGAGCCCTAGGTGTACCTTCAGCTCCCTAATCAAGTCTGCCTCGTTACTCATCACTAAATCTAGAATTGCCTATTCCCCAGTAAGTTCTACCACAAACTGCTCCAAAAAATATTTAATCAACATTCCACACATTCCATTCCTTGGAATCCACTACCAACCCGATTTTCCCAGTCCACCATGATTATCATAATCGTGTCTTTCTTACAAGCCTTTTCCATCTCCTGATTTATTTTCTTCCCCACATCCTGACTGCTAAAAGCCCTGTACACTAATCCCTTCAGAGTCTTTTTTTTTGCCTTTGCGGTTCCTTGACTCTACTGACATAGATTCTATGCCTTCTGACTGTATATCACTTCTTGACATTGACTGAATTTTGTTTCTTACTAACAAAGTAACCTTGACCCCTCTGCCCATCTGCCTCTTCTTTGAACAAGACATGTATCCTTGAATATTTAGTTCCCAGCCCTGATCCCTTGCAACCACGTCTCTATGATACCCACATTGTACCTGCCGGTTTCAATCTGTGTTACAAGCTCATTTACCTTGTTTCATATACTGCCTGCCTTTAAGTATGATACCCTGAGTCCTGCATTGACTGACCCCTTCTCATAGTTGTTCCCAAATCTGCTGTGCCTGAGGTTAGATTCCTGACCCTTCCATACTCTCTGTCCTATTACTTGTTCTGAAAACTTTAACCTCCCTGCCTTTTTCCACAATTTCCCATGCAACTGAACCCACCCCACCCACTATTTAGTTTGAAACCCAGCTACAGCCTTAGTTATGTGATTCGCCAGAACTCTGGTCCCAGCATGATTCAGGTGGAGCCCATCCCATAAGGACAGATACCTCTTCCCCAGTACTGATGTCAATGTCCCATGAATTTGAACCCGCTTCTCCCACACCAATCTTTGAGCCACTTGTTTACTTCCTTAATCTTGTTGATTCTGTGCTAATTTGTACATTTAGTAGCTTCAAGTGGTAATTCAGAGATTGTCACCTTTTAAATTCTGTTTTCTAATTTAGCCCCTGGCTGCCTATATTCCCTCAGCACCTTTCCACCTATATTGTTGATACCAACGTGGACCACAACATCTCGATTTTTCCCCTCCTACTCCAAGTTCCTGTGCAGCCCAGAGATATCCTAAACCTGGAGACAACTCAGCTTTCAAGACTCTCAATCCTGGCCACAGAGAACAGTGTCTATTTCCCTGTAATCGGGTTTGCATAGTCAACTCTGTTGCTCTTTTCTTCCCCCTTCTTGAATGGCTCCCGGTATCACCGTGCTATTGTCCATTTGGTCATCCTCCCTACAGCCCACATTCTCGTCCGCACAAAGGGCAAAAATCTCAAACCTGTTAGACAGGTTCAAGGGCTGATGCTCCCCCAGCAGTACCTCCTGGATCCTTCTTCCTGCTTCACAATTCTGATGGCCTAAACTTTGTCAGTTCTAACAACTTGCAATTTTCAATCCAACTCTCTTGGCTTGGAAACTCTACAGATGTGAAACCAATTCTCCTGAGGTGACTAGCTCCCCTGAACTGAACAACTTGGTTTTCCTGCTAGAAGAAATTTTTCTTCCCTTCTGAACTGAAATCTGAGTTCTTCCGAACTAAAACTTTGAAACTTCTGTTCCAGAGTCAAACCTATACTAGTTGCCTTAATGTGTTTATTCTCTGTCATAAACTCAACAGTATAACCCGTTCATCCATTTCCACTACAGGGGTTCTCCCAGGCACTTAACTGCAGTCACATCCTTTCTTAGAAATGATCTATTTAGATCACTATCCAAATAACATTCCCACCTTTTAAAAGAAAACAGATTTGATCCACATCCATCTGCCTCTTATGTATCCAAAACTAAAATATATTCGGCGACTTTCATCACAGTAAACAAAATACCTGCCATAGACGAATGACAACATAACAAAAAAGTCTGTCAGAGAAATTTCTACTGATGTTGTATTAAGGTAGAGTTGTTGCTTTGTTGCAAGTTTGAATCCATTTTAAACTTGGGTTGCTTTAAATTCTTATGAAAGAAATGAGCAGTAAAATTTTAACATTATTTTTTGTTGCATGCCACACTTTGCCAACATGATTAAGAAATTCAGTATAATCTTTTTCTGAAGATTACACTTAATCATTCCTTGATGCACAATTAAGAAAATCCACAGCTATGCTGCGAATATTCATTACTGGCAGTGAACCACTATAATTGGCTTGGTATTCATTTCCTTGGACAATTACTTTGTCTTCCTAAGATTCCGCAGCCCCATCACCCCCGCCCAACAATGACTAGAGTTTGATTTATTTTTTTCATTTGGATTTTTAGACATGCCCCCTTTAAGACAGTAGTTGCTTTGAAAGTTCATCCACATATCAGCTAAAGATCCAAGGTGCCATATAGGCAAAAAAGCAGCGAGTTGTTAGAATAGCAAATGTAATAACTGAATGGGTAGTTCAGGCAGGTTCAATGACTGTTAAAATTTTGAAGGGGTTAAATTTGCAGGGCTCTGGGGAAATAACAAAGTAGTAGAAACAGCTGTTTAATGTTACCAAAGAGCCAGCATTGGCACAATCAGCTAATTGGCCTGTTTCTATGCTGTATCATTCAATGAGTACAAGTAGTGCCAAGCCAAATTAAATCACAATTTTGGTGAAATTGCTGCATTCAGATACTGAGAAACGTAAAATAAAATTTTCTTTTATAGTGAGTTTTCTCAGAACCTTTACCCAGAAATACCTCATAAGAAAATTATTTTCTTCTTTGCAGCAGATTATTAGTGTAACTAATGTACAGAAAACAATGTTTTTGGCGACAAGTTAGCTCACCCCCACCTTCTCAAGACCAGCTGATAGCCGGCAACAAGTGCTAGTCCTACCAGTGATGTACATGTGCCAAAATAACAAAAATCCTGAATATTAAGAAATTTGTGCTAATAACCAGCAACTTACTTTGTAACCTTTCCACCTAATTTATCTATGTTTAATACGCCTAGCATTGTGCCATTAGGAAATTTATAGGCCGAATAGCAACCTTGAAATCACTGTTGATTGTCGTGAAAACCCAACTGGTTCATTAATGTCCTTTGGGGAAGAAATCTGTCATCTTTACTTAGTCTGGCCTACATGCGACTCCAGGCCCACTGCAATGTAGTTGATTCTTAACTGCCCCTTTGAGGAATTGGGGATGGGCAATAAATATTGGCCTAGTTCGTGACAACCATATCCCATGAACAAACTAAAATGAAAACAAATTGGGTCTAGGCCCGAAACGTCAGCCTTCCTGCTCCTCTGATGCTGCTTGGCCTGCTGTGTTCATCCAGCTCTACACCTTGTTATCTCCTCCCCAACTCTCTTTGATTTACTAATTGGAAGCTGGCATCTGCTCATCAACCTATCCTTACTAAATCAATCAGGAAGAAAAATACCTTTAAGCTAAAATTCAGTTATATAAGGAAGAAACCTGTTGTGTAAACCACTTCATGTAGGTTTTCATGACCAAACTGGAATGATTGCTTCTTATTTCAACCCTCCCAGTGAAGAAACATCCAACAGCATATTTTCCAATCATCCATGCCAGGCAACCTATTTAGACCCTCACCTGATATTACAGTTGGTGTCTGTACTGATGCCAGTAGCACTCACCAGTTAATTAAAATTCACATGAGAACCTCTCTAACATCATTCAGCTATCCAAGCAGTTTGCTGACAGTTTACTATGCGATCGCATATCAGTCATCATGCATGTTACCTCCTGTGTTAATATAATACTTGAAACTAGTTTCATTCTTGTATATTGTAGCTTCCAATTGGACAAGGATAATGAGCCTGAAGTGTCAAAGCTGCTTATTCTGACCTGCGATAGGTTATAATGGTGGATCGCGCAGTGAAATTGGGTGAAGAAAATATCACTGTGTGTGTACATTTTCGTATCAGTATATCTCAGAGAAATGTCCTGCAAAACAAAATTATCAGCATATTATTGAAAACAGTAATTGCAGGAAGTAAATGGTGTTGTAAGTTATTGTATAAATTATATATATATATATTATATATCAATTAAATGCAATCACCAAGTCATGTTACAAGGTCGTAGAGTGTACTGTTCATTCCACGTTTCTGTTGCTACTATTCTCTTGTAGTCTGACTACCTCGTAAATATAATTTTTTTTTGTTTTCTAATGGGACCTAGGTTTTTGACTGAGACAGCTAAACTCCACAGTGTACTAGTTGTATCTCTGAATGCCTGACCATTGATTTAGAATATACTTGTGTATCACACCATTATATTCATTGATTTAATTGCAGTGGTGCCAATACTTTGCACCTCCATACTGATTTTTATTCCAATAAAATGCAGCTCCCATTGCAGTGGATGTACCTGTTTTGTTATTCTCTCTGTATGATTTGCACCCTTAAGATTTAATGGATTGTTAGTCCATAACATGAAGCTGTTCATAATTTGGTACGAATTTACAATTGTAGCTAGAAAGAACAAAGGTGACTAAAAGGAGAAATGGAAATGTCAGCCTGCTGCATTGAGAAATGGAAGTAAGGCACATTGTTTGAACAAAGTTACAGGCTCCACTCCTGCATCTGACCCGTGCCATACTTGGCCCAGAGTTGCTTGAAGCTGAGACCAGTTTCCAACATTAGCAAATGTTCCGTTCCCCTGTACTGACATTCCTCAGTTGGATGTCAACAAAATATACTTTGGAAAGTTATGTCTTCATCATCAGTGGATACACTTCACATTTTGAAGAATGCAAATTATGTTTGGCAAGGGTAGACAAATAAATCCTTATTGGAGCCTTGAAATATTTGAGTTGTCAGTATTTCAGTCAATTTATGTTATCCATTTGAGCAGTGTAAATACAATAGTGTATTTGATCAAACATTGTTTTATGAATTGTATTTACAGATTAGTTCAGGTCATGCAAAACCAGATTCTCAATGACAATCATCCTTTTCAAAAGGTCAAAACCATTTCTAGCTATAAAATTAATCCACATCCAATATAAAATGAAAAGGAAGAGTGTGATCAATTGTATCAGAGATAGTAGGAACTGCAGATGCTGGAGAATCCGAGACAACAAGGTGCAGGGCTGGATGAACACAGCAGGCCAAGCAGCATCATAGGAGCAGAGAGGCTGACGTTTCGGGCC